GTCTGTCTCTCTATAAGCCCTGAGGCTCCAAAGCAGTCTGTTTGGTATTCTTTGTCATACATGCTGCAGTTTGGGATGAACAAGCTAGTATCAGCACCAATGGAGATAAGTTGAGTGTACAGTTTTGTACGGGTTTGTACTACTGAAACGCCTCAGCAGCAAGCAAATACAGGGAGCCAAAGAGGAAAACACGATTACGTTAGTCACAACCTGTTCTCTTTAAGTCAAGGTAAATACAGTGCACTGTTAAAGTCTGTGATGTCTCCGATTTTAATTGCTGACAGTTAATGTTTTAACCGTAAAAAAACTAAGTAGGCATTAGACAGGTAACACTTTTGTAAGTAAAAGCATATCTGGTGTCCTGTTGTACAAACTTAGTTCATATCAAACCTCCAGGTATACCAGTGGAAAAGATGTGGCTGAGTATAGCATTATCCATGTTGTCATCTAACCATGACTAATTATAGCACTCTTATATTTTGTCTTTCAAAATGTGGAAATGCTATCTCAGTGTTTTTAAGCTTACATAACAAAGATTGTACATTTGACTGACATAACCTTCTACCCAAAATGTAGTGGTATGCAAAAACTTGTGTCATCATATGCAGGATCAGCCACCGCCTGTCAACCTCGGGGCGAAGCTGTAACAAGGTACATGTGAATTACACATGTGATGGGGCTCCTACATACACTGACGCCTGTTAAGCTTACATTTATGTATGAACTCTGATCCAGCCAATTTAATTTTCCCCAGAGGTGAAATGCTTGGGAGGAAAATGCTAATATATGTCACCTGAGTAGACTGCCACTGTCAAAGCAATACTTTATCATTTCAAATTAAAGCTTGAGTGCTGCAAATGACACAAATACTGACAATGCTGTACCACTCCCATATCCTCCTAACAACCACATGGGAGTCCTACATGATAGAGATGTGGAGATGGGTGAAATTAATGGGTGTGTTCAGACAGAGCAGCACTGCTTCGTGACATGCAAGTGGATTACAGGAGGCAACAGTGCATTCTAGTGGCCAAGAGGAACATCATAAGTTGCATTGGGTTGTAGTTAGTGCCAGAATTTTGGGGAAAAGACGCTTTTCAAATGACTAATACAGTGATCCAATGTCTTTGTATTTTTGATATTACATGTTTACTTTCCTTTTTAATCAAAAGATCATGCCGTCATGCAGCTAAGGCTCAACTTTAACTAACCTGGCAAAACCAATTGGTGATTGGTAGTGCTCTCACTCATGACTAGAGTGAGAGCACTACCAATACCAAAAAAATAAATAAAAGATGATTTTGGGCTGTGTGGCTTTGAAAGATACAAGTATATCATACGGTATTTATAGCTGTGTCCATCCATGCAGAAAAAAACAATCCCAAAATCAGAGGCAGAGGCACACACACTGCACACATGGTCACTGCGCACATTCACTAGCAAACACTGAACCTTTCATGCATACCGCCGTCTCCCAATATTCCATATCATGCACCTGTGCACACACACTTTCCCATTCAGTTAAATGTATTCAGATGCACTGGTGCAGGAGGGCACGCAGAAGGATCCAGCAGCACACGTACAGTTATTTTAGTGTGTGTTTGCACACAGAGCTGGTTTTTGAAAAACAATACATTTATCGTGGAAACAATAGAAACAGAAGTCATAGGTGTGCAGGTGTGTGTGTCTGGATGTATCCACTAGTGCTTACGCTGTCATTCAGCTGGCAGGAACCACATATATCAATGTAGCAGATATTTGAGGGACTGCTTTTAGCCAGCATACTAAACAGATGCCTCAGTATATTTAATATTATTTAGCGTAAAATGTTTCTCGGGGTTTTCAAAGCACTCTTGGCAACCAGCTCTATTTTTTGCAAACCATCGCCTACAATTTGGTTAGTGTGCAATGCCGACTTCAAATACAGAGTCTGCGTATATCCTGTGCGACTTTGTCTACCATAAAATCGGTCAGGATGACCGACAATTCATCTTCTGCGAAAGAAACGAGCCTGATGTGACATGTTGTTTCTCATTAGTGGCGTGCCGCTCACTCCTTTCCCTCTTAAAACAAATATTCTGCCTTGAACATGTGCGTGACAGCTGGAGATGAGTACTCAGTTAAGTGGAAGAAAATAAATCAAAGCACAGTTGCCATCTTTTCGTGATGATTTGTCTAATTCTTGTGCGTCCACGCAGGGGAGGGGAGGAGAAGAGATGGAGAGGTAGCAAGGGAATGAGGAAGAAGAGGTGGTGTGTGTGTGTGTGTGTGTGGCATGGAGATTTGTGAGAGTGTACGGTGGAAAAGATGGGCACAGAGCGAGTCAGAGAGACAGAGACAGAGAGAAAGTGTGTGTTTGGACCAGCTGCACAGCAAATCTGTTTATTCTGCACAATTTGGCATCAAACACAACAGACTGCTGAGTGCTTGCTACTGCTTGTGGTGCCCCATTAAAATGGAATTTATTGCTGCCTTAAGAGCAAGCCCGAATTACACATTTTTCCCTCTTTGCTCCGTTCTTCTTTCTCTCTCATTTGCACTTTTTTTCTCCGGCTGTGGTGATGGCAGTGCCTCCAATTCTTGCACCACCTGTCAGACAAGTCAGAACGGCTCATTACAGACCCAAACAGGCAGGTATTGTAGGCATGCCCACCCATAAGTCAGCCATCACCACCATCTCCACTGTCACCTGAGTGAGTAGCACTGAGACATCACTGGAAAGAACCTGGAGTTTTCATGAATGCCATGATAACATTGCAGCATGCAAATGCTATATAATACTTGTGTTTCATTTTTCCAGCACGTCTCCCACTTATTTCGTTGAAAAATGTCATCAAAACGCGCAGGCCAGCTTATAATAATCAAATATTTGGTTGAACATCAGTCTGCGAACGTTTCCATTAACACTTGTAACCGGAACTTCTGCGGCAAAGCGAGCACGAACTCTGTGCCCACATCACGCAACATAAATCTCCTCAACCAATGATAAATTCATATTTAATGACCATTGCCATCGTCTGGGAAGGAGGTGCATTCTTTCATTATTGCCTCTTTCCCCTGCTGCTTGGTTGAGATAATTGATTTCTCTGTGGTAACAAGGTATCGACCACAAATGGTAGCCAGCTAAGACAGCAGTTCGATTCAAAGGAGGGGTGGAGAGGGAGTGGAGTTTAAAAAAAAAAAAAGAACAAGGGATGGAGCTGAAGACGAGAGCGCAAGAGTTCTGAAAGTCAAAAAGCCACACAATTATTTGCAGTTAAGCAAACACAGGTGGGTGTAAATTGGACAATGATTCTTGTCCTGTTTTCAAGCTTTTTAAAGGCAGAACATAGTTTGGTATTTCAGCTGTTCGCAGAGCTGTGCATTTAATCCGCCAAATGGAAAGCATATTGATCACACAATCTGTCACATAATTCATTGAAAAGAGTGTCAGAAACAAATCTGGAGGACCACTTTTCAAGCACATGCTTAGCCTGCTAAAGAAGCAGTTTATTGGCCCCGTTTACGAATATGCACGACCGTACCTTTAACAGCTGGTTCAGCCCAGCTCCTTTTCTTGATATGATTTTAAAAGTATATCTCAATGATGCCTTGCCTAATTCACAAACAAGTTTTCCACTCTGAAGATCAAGTTCTCAAAACACAGAATTAATGTGTACAGAGCATTTCTCTGGTGCTTTACTTGACTTTTTTTCCTTCAGAGATGTATTGATTAGATGCGTTATTAGATGTTCGGATTTGACAGTCATCCATTTCTTTGACATCAGCCTGACCTTAAGCAGACAATGGTGTCTGCACGACCGCAAGGTTGACACGTACACTTTATTTTCACTCAATAACGGCAATAAGTAAACCTTGTGAATTGAGTAATTTATTGATTACATTCAGTTTCCAGAGACGGTGGTCGTAGTATTGTTGTTCCCTTTGCCATCACTGCCTGCAATTCACTGTATAAATAGAGGAATTAAACAGTGTTGTTGTTATGTGTTTACCAGCTTACACTGTAATTTATTTAAGAGCTCTTAATTGGACTACTTACTCATTTGGCCCTCGCTGGTCCCATAGCAGAACGGAGCTCTATCACTGCACACTGGGGCATGCTGGAATATGGAGCTACAGAGACACACTGCACACAGCCAGCTGTTTGATGTCTGCAACCGTTGAGCGTATGCTGCACCGTACAGCATAAATAAACACACAATCCCCCGATGAGAGGACAGATCGACACACAGGAGACCTTATTTCAGGCTAATGAACTATTAATGCTGATTTGAAATTCAAACATTTTTGGAGGGTCTTTTTTTTTGCAGTCATTCGAGGCTCGCTGTGTGTGAGACAGAATGAAAGGAAGAGAGAACAAACCAATTTGGATGAACTATGCGCACACTATTTTCACACACGCACGCACACACTCGACACAGCTGGGCTTAGATCTCTGAGGGGCTGATGTGTTGCTGAAGCTCTGTATTAAATGAGGCCATAGAAAATCTATGTCAATGGGTTCAGCCTGGCTTAGCACTCTCCACAGTAACTGTTAATGGAATAACTATAAGATGTATAAATGATCACTGCTTTAATTCATAATAATGTTGGACCTCATCGCCTGCCCATTCAGCCCAACAGATTATGGAAATAGCTGTAATGACTATTGGAACAATGAGCCAAATTGCATTATCATTCAGTGCCACGTCAGCTTTGGAATAGCTGGTACGGTGCTTTTGCCCTTTCACTGAAGATCTTCAATAGCAATGGCCAGCATTCAATTTACACCAGGAAAAATTAAGCATTAAGTTTTAGGCTGTGCATTAATAACCTGCTGATTTAATAGGGTAATACTAATCCATGTTCAAGTATAAGAGGGTTTTGTTTAGACTGAATTACCAGTAACAAAATGATATCCTACACGTCTGGTCTTACATGCTCTACGGTCTTCTTTCAGCCGGGTTCCTCAACCCACATGTCTAACCTCTTGCACAAATACCACCTACCAACACAAAAGAAACACTCTTTGCGTTTTATTTTTAGTTCAGGCATTGACTTCCACGTTATATGAGCAAAGACAAAGAGATAAATGTTAAGATTCACAGGCTCTCTGATGAATGACAATCATTTACACGTTATTTCATTAGAGAAAAAGAACCACATGAAGGAATACATGTACAAGGATGTATCAAATATGCATAAAATAATGCAGTATTACAGGATTCTTACAACCACAAACAGCAGGATGTAGTTTTCATAAGTCAAAATGTTTCCGTTTTTATCCAAATGAATATCTCACCCAAAATCCCTTTATTTGAACCAGTACTATCACACAGAGATTTGCTACAGGTGATGATGAGAGCACAAGACTGACTTTTCTTATCGTTAGTCTAATGGTGCAAGAAAGCTACAAATACTTCACTGTGCATGCATGCAAATGAGTTTTCACAGTAATACATTAAAACAGCTGAAGCTTTATTTTGTTATGACCGCATAAATGAGAGTCACAGATCTCTTGACTTAACCATCCCACGTTAGTAGAGTAACTTCTAAATATCTGCTGATATATTAAATGAAAGGAGTGCCATGATTTCTGACTGATTACGTACACAGTATACAGTATGGTGTCTTTATAGGTTACAATTGCATATGGAAAGTAGTGCAACAGCAGCCTCTAGTGGTAAATGTTACCATGTAGAAAATACACTTTGGTTTTTACAGTGTGCAAAAAGCATTCTAATTTCCCAACGGGTATCAGTGTTTACACAGAATATATTTTTTAAGTATTTGAAAGTTTTTCTCAAAAAAATGCCATGATTGGTAAAGATCAGAGTGTGTCAACATGAATATATAAAACAAACCATAAAATCATTAAAACAAATGTTTTAATGATACGGCAACCAATGCTCTCAACAAAAAAATAAAAACATACTAGCCAATATTAGCGATTCTCACCTCTTTGTTCATTCTAGCTCTGTGTGCTTTTCATGTGTGCTGATGCATACCAATGACTTTCTTATGGTCTATGATGCATCCATGTAACTGTGGTTACAACCACATGTTCAGGAAGGGGGGGGGGAGGCAGCATTGAAAACAGCATTAAACATCACATGAAGTAGGAAATCTCAATCCCTAAATTAGTGTGAGTATGGTTGCTCGGTCATTAAAAACTCTTATAATCAGAGACGGAGCCAATAATAAAACATTAGTGATTAAAGATACAAAAACAACAAAAAAATTCTACATTCTCTCATCTTTTGAAAAGAACAAAAATCTTGTTAGAAAGCTTTCTTAAAAAAAAATATCTTCAGTAATTAAATTGGTAAAGTTATTGTGCTAAATTTGCATAGTCATATTCCAACATGATTATATAAATACACATATATATTCATTTACTGCAGTAAGTAACCTAGAAGCTTAATGTAGTGAGGGGTTTTTCTTTCGTTACCATTACTTCAGCTGGGGGGAAGCAAAGAAGCTTCCCTGGCGATTACAGGCCGATGTCGCTTTGCTCTTGCTCCCAAATCTAAGGATGAAGAGGTCGGGGTTGAAGGGAGCACACAGAATTAGAAGGTTAGTAAAAGTCATTTCAGACAAACAACTGAATCACTATTAAGATTATCGTTTTCAGGGAAAACCAGGAAACAATTCCTTATATGTGGACAACTGAGCTAACTTAATTTGATTATTGACTGCTCTCTATGCAGGCAGTCATGTTACTTACACGTGGCTTTTGGCGCCCTGAAAAACTTTCACAATCCAACATTTTCCAATTCTCTCTACCATAAAATATTGAGAGACAAATTTCTGCATATCCAATCTGAAGCCTTTAGTTAATATCATAAATGCAGTGGAATATCCACAAGATGTTTTATGCCCCGCTGATTAAATGACAAGAACAGCAATTGATCTGCTCTAGTCCAGAGTCTCAGTAAGTACTGCTAGTGGCACAGCATGTTTATACTTGTACTTTTTACAATGTGACAAATTGAAATGTGTCATGTCTCTTGGAACCTATGAGGGAAGAAACAGCTTCACTTTTTTTTAGTCAAGTATGTGGATTTTGAATGCTGAAGTTCCGAAATCCTGAAGTCTCTACATGATGTTGCTCACAGGATGAGATGTGAGGTCAAATATGTCCAATATTCTGTCATTTTGCCAGTTGATGCATCATATACAGTACCAAATAAATTATAGCCAGAATCCTTGCATGTATTTTCTTGATTACTTATCCACCTCAGGGTCTTTGTAATAGTATACAGAAAAATAAACTGGAAATTTAAAATTTGTCTGTCTTTAGCTCAGAAAGTGCGTGTTTTGGAACTTCCTGAAGCTTGTTATGTTGAGGGCAGAGATGTGAAAAAACTAAACCATCAGATGTAAATTTGACTGATTTAAATTGATAACATTTCAGTCTGGATAAGATGTACCAATCTAACAACTCTGCTTCGATCTTGTTTACTGTGAAAAGAATTGGAAAAAGAGAGTGAACTCACAAGGTGGTACTGGAGAGGGTGTGCTTCATGCGCTGAGACAGTGAACTGGAGGAAGGTGTTTTGGCCATCATCTGGTGCTCTGGAGTAGTTACTGGCCCCAGTATGCTCACTACAGATAAACCCATAAATCAACAGAACCTCAATTTAACAAGACAATATTATCAAATCTGTTGAGTATAAATGCTGAAAAAAAAGGATTAAGGTTGGTTGATTTGATTCGATTTTTATCGTATGCCCATTTGCTCCACCAGTTCGAAAATCTAATCAAACCCACTTTTATCGGGGTATTCATTTTAGAGGAGCCTTAATGTACCTTTCATTGATTTACCTTTGTGGTTTGGAGTGTCAGTGTTGTGAGCATTGTCAATGCTTGCATTATCTGGATAAGCAAACTGGCTCCAATAGCTGTCTGGAATACTGAGCAAGCGCTCTATAACCTAAGAAGACAGGAAATAAATCCATTATTTATAGTCGAACACACTGAAGGACAAACACTGATCACTGAGGTACAACCATATACACCCACACACACACTATGTGCTACTTTATAAGACATGCATTAGAGTTCTAAACATAATGCCTATGCTGAGAAGCCAGTCCTTATTCTTCACTTTACCCTTGGTTGCCTGTTGGTGTCGTGCAGGATGGTCATAGGGTCTGGATTAGGAACAGCATGACCTACAAGGGTTGGGCCAAACACCCTGGCCAGGTTATTTACATCCATCCTGGTGTCCACACTTCGAGACACCCTGATAATAGAAAGAAATTCAGTCTTCTTGAGCTGACCTTATAATGCAGATTCAAGAGATTTCAAAATTACAAACTGTAAATCTTGTGTATTAAGCAGAGTAAACTAAAAATAAGATAAAAGGATTCTTAACACGACTAAAGAAAGGAATGAAAATTACTTCTGCAGATGGATCATCACACAGGCCAGTGTGTCTCGGTTTGGTTGAGGCAGCTCACTCATCGTCTGATACAACATAGCAAGACTGTTGTCATCATCCTGGATTTCTACAACATCCAAAAAAATAAATTAATAAATAATAAGTACATAAGATATTTTATATTCATGGATACTCTTCCCTGTATCCCAGGCAGGAAATTCAACCACTCAGTGCAAATTGAGCTCTCTTAAAATAAAAGATTCAAACACATAAGAATTCCTGCAGGTCCTGCAGTCTCACAAACTCACCCGCTGCTTCCATGAAGGCGTTGTTGAGGTGGAAGGTGAGCAGTGGCTCTGGAAGGTTTCTGAGGAAGTCTTTGAGGACGCCTGCAATGACATTGATGTCTTCGACTTTGTTAAGAGGAGGTAGAGTCTTTCCTCTAATGAGCTTTTCCTTCAGCTCTTTCACCACACGCTCATGGCCAGAGACTCTGTACAGGCCAACCTGGGGTAAGGAGGAAAGAAAGAAACTAGAACTCAGCTCTCACTGTCCAGCCTTACTGTGACTCTGCTTTACTTTGAAGTAAAATACCTAATTAGATGGAAACGATCTACTGTAATCACTTAATGGAAAGGATTGAACTGTTAACATGCAAACAACAAGTAAACAGGGCTTCAATAATGCCTTTCCCACCTCATGTAGGCCTCTTTTTTCAATCTCCTTAATGCAGTAGATAACCAAAGCAGGGATCATTGGAGCAGTGAGTGGAGCAAAGTCAGCCAGAGTAGACTACACAAGAATTATATCAATTAATTTCTATGTAGGTGTGAAAAAAAAATCATGCAAAATATATGGAATAGAAGCGATGAGACCAATAAGAACAATGTACCTCTGTGTTCTTGACAGGAGTATTAAGAGCAGTAGGATTACAGGGCATGGGACACAGGTCACGACATTCAGGATGGGCCACAGCCCTGCAGTCCTGGCAGCGAAGATACAGCTTGCCAAACTTTGTTCTTCTTCCACATGACACACAAAACTCTGACCGGATCACCTTAGTGATAGAGGGAACACAACTCACTTAAACAGGCTGGTGGGGATTAAGAAGATAGAGATATAATCTCAGTTATTTACAGTGAATTAATTTTAGTCAAGAATTTAGCCGTACTGTTTTGGAGATGAAGTGATGTTTCTTTCCTCCTTCATTAGTTTTGGGAGTCTGGAGTTGGGCTGGGAATTCTGAAACAGGTGTTCTGGGAGCCTCGCTGACAGTTTCAGAGTTGTCAGTAGTCGGCGTATCAATCCAAGATGGAGCAACTGCAGGCACATGTAATGTCACATGTAAATCAAACCCCAAAACACTGAGGAAACTCACCAGTCCAAATCACTTATTTCAAGCGTACATTGGTTGTTTGGTATGATCATGTTGCTTTGTTAGACAAGTGTGTTTGTAAGAGGCTATAAATAAAACATGAGGAAAATTCTTACCGCTCTTCTTTCTGCTGCGCGTCCAGTAGGGCACGGTCTCAATGGTGGAGACAGCCTCAACAGCACCACCATTTACAGGTACAGTGATGGTTGTTTTGGCCACAATGGATTCATTCATCTGAAGTGTAAGGAAGGAGATATTTCATACTAATTCATAGATACAATTACAGATCCAGATTTTTTTTAATGTTATTTAGCACATCCAGCTGCAGAGGTCAGTATTACCCTATCTGATGGGCATCCAGTAGAGCGAGGCTTCTTCACTGCCTGCAAGTGACCTTCTGAAGGTTTTCTGGAGGAACGCTGTGGATTGAAATTAAATTTTCAAAACCAAAGTAAATATCAAGAGACATCTGATGTCCCTTCTGACACTGAAACATGTCAAGATGACATAGAAAATAAAAAAAAAATCAATGCAAGAAAAGATTCATGTGTGCAAAATGTAATTTAAGGCATGACTCACTCGTTTCTGTCGCCTGCGCAGTCTAACATTCTTCATCACAGATGAATCCCAGTCCTGCAGAAAACCACAGCATTTTACATTCACTTGGCCAATTTACTACTGATTTTTCTCAAAAACTAACAAACAAAAAAACAACTATGCTGTCACACCATTTGATCAGCAGTTCTCATAAGATAAACCTTTAAGGATCATTTTACCAAAGAGTCATCCGTATGGTCGTAGCTGATGTCTGACAGCAAAGAAGCTGATTCATCAATAGTAGTCAGTCTGTAAGACAGATAAAGTTAGTTGTCTGTGTATATGCCAAGTTTAAGAATAACACTGTTTTAATCACGCCTATAAAATTCTCTCCCTTACAGTGTTCATGCATATGTGCTAACCTGCTACATGCAATAAAAGTTTAGCTTGTCTTTGCTCAGAGTATAGCCATTTCTTCTCAGCTTGTTTTTGTCCCTCTCCCATGCAAAAGAAAAAAAAAGGAGAAGAAGAAGAAGAAGAAGAAGAAGAAGAAGAAGAAAGAAACAGAAGTGTCTCTTTCTGACCTTCGGCTGGAGTTGAGGTTGCTCTTTGCAGCTTGTGCTGCCTGGGAGTGGGCATTGAGGAAGGCCAGGGCTGAACGCTGTTCCTCACTGAGGAGGACGCTGCCACCATTGTTCTCTGAAACCAGCAGCTCTCGGATCAGCTGTAGCTGTCGCTCCTTTTATACGCAAGGTTGAAAGAAACATGTTCATTTAGAAAAATGTATAACTGTCAGTCAGCAACAAATTAATTTTGTAATCTACACAGTGAAATGGGCATCGTCATTATCTGAATATGAATCTTCATCTATTCTTTCTCCATCTAATTTCACATCAGCAATCGTGCTGGTTACATAAAGAAAGAGTAGAAAGAAAAAAAAACAGAGTAGCACTGACTAGTTTCTCATATACGGCCTCAGCTTTCTGCCGCCGGCGGATCTCCACGTCCACCTGGTTTCGAGCGTGTTTTAGTTTGACCTCCAAGGCTCCCCTGTCCGTCTCCACTTTAGCCAGCATCTCCTTACAGGAAACTAGCTCCTCACCTGCCTGCAGCCATTTCTTGCGGCAATCCTCAAAGTTCACTGCCATCTGGAGGAACTCTGAAAAACAAGACAAGGTTTGGCTGTTAGTCTATTTATTACATCAGTTCTACTTTCCCACGCTGCAAAGCTCAATGCTAACACCATTGCTGTAGTCCAATCATCTTTCTTCAAACCAATTACCATCAACTCTTCTTTAAATAGTACTGCTCATCTTTCATTCTCCCTTCCAGACTCCTTCGTGCAACCCACCTCCTCCCCATCCAAGCCTCCATCTTATCTTCAACGCCACAATCAGCATCTACACTCAATCATGTCTTAATTCCCATCACCGCTGGGATTTTGTTCTGTTGTGATGGATCATTGGATTCTAATCGCCAAATAGCATAACTGAATTCTCTGTAACAATAAATCATGTTCAATTGCTTCTAATGATGCCTCCTAATTGAGATTTAGATCTGTTATTTATAATCTGTACTATTTAGAAAGAGGACAAAAACATAAGATTGTTTGTAGTAAGTGAATAAATAAAAAATAAATGGAGATGATTGTGACTTTCTATTTATTTTACTACACTCCTAATAGTTATTTCAATTTCTATTTGTATCATCAGATGCGTTATCAATATTCACTAGCCTTCTATAACCCTGACTGAGTGAACCTTTAAGTTACTAATGCAGAGGCTCTATAATCAGTGCTGCTTCTGTGTCCATACAATTCATCACACCCTCTAACAAGTACTCGGATGGGAGGAGCAGGTTGGTATTAATAGGTTGGCTGAAATACATCCACCTTAGTACAGCTACCAAGTATAATTCCAGAGCAGATGCGCTTAATGCTGTTACTTAATGCTTACAAACACTGCAGTTTCACTGAAAGGCTTCTACAAAGGTGACTAATACCAAAGCTACGTAAGAAATTAACTTACGTGGTTCAATGCTCTCATTCAGGCCGTCGACCTGGGCTCTGAGACTCTCAAACTGGTTGTACAGGTTCACTGCTGACAGCTCCATGGTGTCTTTCTGTAGATGTGTTAGCTGAAGATTAGTGAGACAATAATGTTCCTTTCACTTTAATTACACTTCTCACTCTGAATCAAGTCAAAATAGGCAGTCACGTTAGGCAAAAGGTTTATCGTATGACAAATAAATACTAGGTTTGTTTCCTTGTTGTTTAAGCACTAATATTGGCATTATCGTCAGTTTATTCAAACACTCGCAAGCGGCTAAGCTAACTCAATGCTAGGTTTATCATTACGATGAAGTCACTGGCATGCTAGCGCTAACTTTAGCAGGCTTGAGGTCAGCTGACTGTGCAGCCTATCGTTAAAATAACCGAAAGAACACAGAAACAACAAAAACAACGTACCTATGCAATAAAGATGTTGTAACAGTGTGACGGGCAATGTAATGTAACACAATCCGATGCTAAGAGCGACGCTTATCCCCACAGTAACAACAAAGCCACACCTGCCCGATTAAGTTTACACATTCTTCTCCAAAGTTCAAAATCAGCGCCGCTTTTCTTCCTCGTCTATTGAAACCGGAAGTGTGTGCGCTCTGGCACCCCCATAGAACCGGAGTTGTAACTGCACCATAAATGTGCAGCTCTTTATGTCCGATTGAGTTCGAATCATTGAGGGCCTTACGTTAAAGATAACGAAAAAATAAACGAGAAGGCAACCCTGTGTGTTCTACTGCATGTGCAATCATCAGATTTAATCTCTCATATGATTAGCAAATAGCAAGCAGCTTTCATTATGTAAAATGTTGCTGCATGAAAAAATAAAGAAATTATTCTAACATTTTATTGTTAAATACCTAATGATTAGTTCCATAAAAATATACAACTTTTGATCATCATATAGGATGCTTTTTTCTTTTTACTTTATCCACTGATCTAGTTTTTAACATGCTCTAGTTATATTGTAACTATTAATTAACTGATACATATTATTTTCCCTTACAGATCCATTGTATTGCTTCATCTAATATACATGAGGACATTGAAAGATGTGAAAAGAACTGCTCCAGTTAATTTATCAATCTCTTTATTAGTTTTAATTATTATGATTATTACTATTTAATTAAGACACTAATCCGCAAGGGTGGTAGAATCATTGGTCAGATTTTGGAAGTGTTTGAGTCAGTGACAGACAGGAGGTCACTGAACAAACTGCTCTCCATTATGGACAGCCCAGCAAGCCCTGCTCCACACTTCTGAGGCAGCAGGGCTCCTTCTCACTCTCTGACTGATTCATCCTCGCTGCCATAGAGAAGACTGCACTATCTCAGTAGTATAAGCAGGGGCGGATGTAGAGAAATTTTCTTAGGGTGGTATGAGGGTGGCATGGAAATCAAATGGGTTGGCAGTTCAAAGCCATTTTTTACACATATGCAGGTGTTACAATCTGTAATATCCATTATATATATCGTTAAAATACATCAAATGCAGTACATAGACACATGTTTCATATAAATATACTCTATAAATTTCTTATTTTCTTTAGCACACATAATTAAACATTTCAGTTACATAAAACATGCAGATTTTGATTTTATGTACTGTATAGCCTATATAATAAGTATGTAGTCCAATAACTATAAAATCCAGAAAGCTACACAACATTGGGGGG